TCCGCTCACAGGACTTCTCAGAGTTCCAGACAGAAGGTAACGTGCACAGAAGGTAATGAGCCCCCCAGGCCCTGCGGCCTTACCTTCTTCCCCTCGGTGTCCCCACAGTAAAACTGTTCGGCTTTGGTCTTGCCCATCACCACCGGGTCGGCGGCCTCAAGGTGGGAGGGGTTGGCCACCAGTGACAAGGTGATGTTCCTGTCTGTCACGCGGTTGATCCTCCGGTGGTACATGCCCAGGTGGTACTTCACATCCCCAGAGCCCTGTGGACAAACAGTGAGGCTCGGTCCTAGGCAGCACAGGACAGCCCTGCCCTGTCACTTCTGCTCCCAGAACCCCACTCCTGGAAGCGTGGGCAGGCTCCTCCCAAGACAACTCCTGCCCAGGGCACAGGGTGGGTGTGGGGGCTGCCAGACCACTGCCAGGTGCCCACCCTCTATTCTCCCAGAGGTCGGCCTGGCCGCCTGCTTCATGATCAGTACGGAAGGTCCCAGTTCCTGGCAAGTCTCTCCTGACAAACAGTAGAGCCAGGGCTGCTCCCGACAGGAAACCAGCATCTCACCTCGTCTGCGGCCTCCAGCTTTGAGTCAAACTGACAGAAGATCTGCTCCAGCTCCTTCCTGATGACGTTTGCCAGCACGTTCAGTCGCCCCCTGGGACACATGGGGTCAGCAGAGTCAAGTGCACCCAGGTACCCCTTCCTCTCCCAAGGGACAGGCAGCACTTTGGTTTGCTGCCTGAGGTGCTGAGACCAGAGCTGGGGGGGACCCAGATTCCGCCCGCCAGCACCTGAGGCCACCATGAGGGGGAAGAAGGTGTAACGTCTCAGCTGTGGGCAGTGGGCAGCCGCCCCTCAGGTCAGCCACCCTCTTTTGCTGTGACCCGCACTGAATCCATCAGTGGCCTCAGGTGTGAGAGTGATCACAGAGTGAGGGGCGACGCTACACTGCAGCAGGGGTGCTGGGGAGGGCGAGGGCTGGGGAGGGTACCTGTGCGGCATCCCCATAATCACTTGGTCCACGCCATTCTCACTGGACTTGTCGATGATGGTCTTGAGGGCCGGGATCAGCACCTCACAGCCCTCCAGGCCAAAGCGCTTCTCAGATGACCACTTCCTCTGTAGGAACTCCTCGAACCTGGTGGGAACCAGCCCTGTGAGCAGTTGCAGGGCCGCCTACTCCCCAGGGGGTGGGACCCTGCCCAGTCGACACCTGCCAGAGCGCAGCCCCACCTGGTGGACCGCACCAGCCGGGCCAGCAGTGTGCGCTTCTCCTCATTGGTGAACTGCATGACCCCGGGTGTCTCGAACTTCTGCCGGATCCACTGGCACTGCTCCAGGTCATTGATGAACATGAACTCTACCCCGATGTGCTGGCAGTAGGCCATCTGTCCACACAGTCAGTTCACACAGAGGGTCAGTGCCCACTCAGCCACATGCAGGAGGGACAGGGCCTCCCTTCCAAAAGCACCAGAGCTGCTGTGCCGGCAAAGGTCCACCGTTCGTGTGTACGCGTATGTGTGCACACGCGTGGGTGCGGAGGGTGCCCTGCAGGATCGGTACCCACCAAGGCCACAGAGGAGGAGGGAAAATGTAACTGGGAGGATGAGCGAGCAGACAGCTGAGTCTGGACAGTGCACTGCTGGGCAGTCTGGGCTTGCCCACAGGCATGGGGACCTTTCACATCTGAAATAAACTCCCACTGGGACTGGAACCCACAGACATTTTTTCTCCTTTCTGTGGCTGATTATAAAAATAAAAACAATAGATTTTTATCTACAAAATAGATAAAAAATTCCATTTCTATTATATTTAAAAAAAATTCAGGACCAAGAAAAACCCAAGTAGTTGGGAGGCCTCCGGCCATCACAGGCTTTTCCGGAAAGTGGGTGGCCCTCACCTCTAGCCGCCGGATGATCTCCCGCAGAGGCAGCGCCGACTCCTGCCCCCCAATGAACGTGGTGGTCGGCAGGTGGAAGACCTTGTCCAGGTCAGACTCGTCCAGGCCATAGAACCCTGCGGGGTGAAGAGAGACGGGCACAGCCACACGGGGACCACAGTTTATGGAACGGGGAGGGGACTCCCCCGGGGAGAGAAGAGAGAAGAAAAAAACCGTAAGAACCTCTGATACATTAAAGTAAATAATATTATATAGTTAGAAACACACATTTAGTAACAAATGGAAGCCGAGAATATTACTGGGTGTCATAGGCAAGTGAGAATAAAATTCATAGATGCATGTATTAGTCCAGTGCACCAATTAGTCATAATTTAGAGGAAAATGTATTTAAAGGTCCCAAAGATACCAATGAATTCTGGTTTGGAAAGGCACTGGAGAGTCATCAGAAAGCAAATGGGAACAGTCAGGGAGGGGCTTCAGGCGGAGAATGAGCTGGCACAGGAGAGGCCTGTGTCTCATGAGGGGTAACATTCGGATGCTGAGTGACAGGAAGCTGGGGGGCTGAGGAGTGAGGGACAGTCACCGGGAAGCCGAGTGGTCTGCGGGAGAGAGCAGTGGACAGCACAGCAAGGGTAACACAGCTGTCCCTTCTCCTGGGAGTGCCCAGCCTGCACATCCTGGACCTGCCCCTGTCCAGCACAGGCAGCTCAGAGCCAACAGTCCCTAAGTGCTCACTCACTGACTGGTCACCGCTGCTTCCTGAGCACCTGCTCCCTGCAGGGCCCCTACTCCGGCTGACAGACGTGAGGGGAAGGCTTTTTCTTGGGCACCGCGTGTAATTTCCAGGGGGCAGAGGCTTGGAGAACCATCTGGGGCCACAGACCCTGACAGGGCCTGTTTCCTGGCCTGGCTGCCAGCGGTCACTTGTAAACACAGCTGTACCTGAACCCCCAGGAGACAGATAAAAATACACCTTTCCAGGCTCCAACCCCAAACTGGCTCACTGGTCACGGTCACTGGGAATCTCCCCAGTGCCCCCTCAAGCTGCAGCCCCATTTTTCTAATGCTGAAAAGCAAAGCCTACAGCTCCCACACCCTAGTTGTTGGCTCCTTTTCTGCAGTGGTTGGGAAGGTGGTCCAGTGCACTGAGCGGCTGCTCTGTCATAGTGAGGACAGCCCACCATAGGCGCCTGGTGGCCCACAGGGCTCTGGTCACTCACAGCTCCACTCATGGTGTTCACAGAGAACTGGAGTCATCTGGGGTGTTTCTGCTTGCTGAGTGCTTTCACAGAACGCTCAGCAGGGCAGCGTACTGTGCACTCTGTGGGGACACTGGCTGAGTGACCGTCAGCACGAGGACTCGTGGCCTCGCCCTGCCTGTGGCTCTGCACTTCCACCCCGAGCTGATCGTTCTGTGAACCTCAAAACTGCTGGCCCCACTCCTGAGTTCTTAAGTCTTTTGAGAAATCAAATCAACAGGGTTGGCTCCGGGAAGGTGGCAAATACTTTCCCCTCCCTACTGCCCACCAAGTGCAACTGAAACCTCAGACGTCAAATGTCAGACAACGCTGGAAAGTGGGGAAGGAGGCTGACCAGCTGGGGGTCCTGGGTTTCCTCTTGGGTTCCCATGTCCTTGACTTGGAGCCAAGGACCTGCAGCCTGGAACTCCTTCAGGTGCAGCAAGCCACCAGTCCCCCAAAAGCTGCTCTCACTAAGGGGCCAGGAGAGGAAAACCTCGCTGCACAGACACCATAACACGTTGCAGCCCAGCATGGCAATGCACTTTGACCTGCGACCTCTGAGGTTTCAGAGGAGACCCAATTTTCATCCCCTCTGGTAGGTAATGTGCCTCCCACTTCCCCACCTGGGAATAATGCCCCCCCCCCCACGCACACACACAGCGGTGTTCAGAGGAGGCCACTGTAGCAGAGAAGTAAGAGTCCAAGTCTCCTAATCCCCAGATGTCCTGGTTTTAAAAAACACTCACTCAACCAAGAGCCAGGAATATCTCAGGTTGAACAGGATGATCAGCAGACACCAGAGGGACCCAGATGCTAGACTACCCCACTGGAGTCTCAAGGAGCCATGGTCCCGTGGCTGCAGTGGCAATTAGAACATGACAGACAAGTGAGAAAGAGATCGAGACTCAGCAAAAAGCAGACAGTCTGCAAAAGGCTAAAGACACAAAGAAGGACCAAGAGGGAAATTCTGAAATGTCAAAACACAACCCAACGTAAGCTCAGTGGGCAGGCCCTGGCTGAGCGGCTCAGCCGGTCGCAGCACCATCCCTGCACCAAAAGGCTGTGGGTTCAGTTCCCGGTCAGGGCACATGCCCAGGTTGATGGTTCGATCCCTGATCAAGGTGCGTACAGGGAGCAACTGATCAACATTCCTCTCTTACATCGATGTTTCTCTCCCTCTCTCTATACAAAAGCAAAAACAAAACAAAACACATCCTCAGGCGAGGAGTAAAAACAAAACAAAAGGCCCTCGGTGGATGGGCTCAGGCAGAACCAGGGATAGGATCGGTGACAGCGAAGACAGAACAGAGAAATGAACCATCCTCAGAGGAGGGAGAATGGCCGGGAAGCGGTGAAGGAAGTGGGGACAGGTGACACCCTCACAGGAGAGCCCACCTGCTGTGACAAATCCCACAAGCCTGAGAGCAGGAGGGCAGCTTGGAAAACGATACCGAGGACTTCCCACACACGGCAAACCTAACAAGCATGGCCCTGTACGCTGAGAACTACCAGAGATGTAAGTGGAGACGCACAATGGTTGTGGTCTGGAAGGCAACACGGGAAGACGCCATTTCTTCCTAAACTGGCCAATAGGCTCAACGCACTTCCTACCAAAATGTCAGCAAGGATTTCCATAAACACACCAAGTATGTTCTAAAATTTATTGGGGAAGACAAAGGCCCTAAAAACCCCCAGGCAATTCCGCGGAAGGGGACGGCGTGCAGCAGTAACAGCATCAACACCAGGTGGCGCTGGTGGGGCACAGACCAGAGAACAGAACAGAACCCCACCCACCCGCCAACAAGCCCAGCTGATTTCTGACAAAGTACAGAAGCGACTCAAGGAAGGAGAGATACCCTCCAACCAATGGTGCTGGAGCCATCAGACACCTGCAGGCAAACCTCCTCCCCCAATAAACAAGCAAAACCCTTCACCTACCTTCCTGTCTTATGCAGAAATTAACTCAAAACGGACCATAGATTTAACTGTAAAATGCAAAACTATAAAACCTTTGGAAAAATACACAGGAGAGCAGCTTTGGAATCAAGCCCTAAGGGAAGTGTGCTTAGACGAGACACCAAAGGCACAATCCCCCAAAGGAAAATCTGACAAACAGGATTATTCAGGATTTAAAACTCCAGGTCTGCAAAGACCCCGTCAGTCCAAGGAAGAAGTAACCCAAGGTCTATCAACAAGTGGCTGTGGCCACTCGGGCCAGGAAGGCTACCCGGCAATCCAAGGAGCAGTGTCAGAAACAGACAAGGTGAAACCAGACAATCAGGCTGATGGGAAACCGTCAACCCCAAATATTACATATGGTGACTCCATTAGCACAACCTTCTGGAAATGACATTACAGAAACAGGAGGACAGACAGTGGTTGCCAGGGCTACACACGGGTGGGGGGGAAATGGTGTCATCAGAGGGCAGCAGGAGGGACCCCGTGGGGCAGACAAGCAGCGGCAGCACTGGCTGGGACGTGCTGTGGTCAACAGGGTGTGATCCCTGGGGAGCTAACTGGCTGGGAGGCACAAGCTCTCTTATTTCTAACAAGTGCCTATTGAATCTCAAAATAAGTTTAATCAAAACTAGTCTCACGCCCTAACTGGTGTGGCTCAGTGGTTAGAGCACTGGCCCGTAGACTGAAGGGTCTCGAGTTTGATTCCAGTCAAGGGCATGTACCTCGTTTGCAGGTTTAATCCCTGGCCCTGGTCTGGGCCTTTGCAGGAGGCAATCAATCGATGTATCTCTCTCACATCAATGTTTCTCTCTCTCTCCTCTCTCTCTCTCTCCCCCCCTTCCACTCTCTCTGAAAGGCAATGGAAAAATATCCTCAAGTGAGGATTAAAAAACACACCAAAAAAAACAACTAGATTCTGACAAATACGATGAGCAAATGGAGGAAGAGAGAACTGAGAGGCACCTGGTATGGAAGGAAGACTGGCCGCGGGAGAGTGGCAACAGGTAGAGGACCCCAGCACCCACTCTGGAGTCCTCGAAGGTGCTGGGCCAAGAGCCTGGGGTCATTAGGGTTCCTCACTCCATGACGTTTTTATCAATACACTAAACGGGAAATCTTGTTACAAATGCCCAGGACAGAATCGGAGAGAATGCAGAGTCTGGCTAGGGCCTAGAGTGAGGGAGGGGAGGGGGTGCACATGCAAGCCACAACGTGGCCCGGGCCCGTGGGTGCCAGCGGGAGCCCCTGAGCACGAGGGACCAGCGCAGCGAGGGTGCCACACGGGGGGTGGGGGGGTGGAGATGTCCCAGGACACAGCTGGATGGAACAGAAATGACGTGAGAAGCAGCTCTACCTGCTGGGTCACAACTGAGTGACGGGAAAACACATTTCCAATAAGTAACAACCTCCAGAAGAGGGACAGCATGTCAACTTCCCCCAAGGGCATGCTGGGAGAAGTCGCACGTTGTCCCAGGCAGCCCAGCTCCCAGAAGAAGGCTGGTTTCCATACCTCCCACTGTTAGCACTCGGAGTCGCTCCTGGAAAACGGCAAGGTCTGAGAGCGGGGAGCGTGGGGAGCGCAGGAGGAAAAAGACAGGTGAGAGTTAGTTCAGAACCCCCACCCGCCACAGCAGACGGACGCACAGACACCATCACAGACACAGACACTGAAGGACGGCAGGGTGGGGGACAAGGGCGGAGGACAAGGGCGGGACTTCTGGGGTCAACAGCTGGCCTGAGGGGAGGCGTCTGGCCCCCTCCCTTCCCCTCCTACAGACATGGCCGACACACGGCTCCTGGGAAGGAGTCCACCCAATATGGACACTTTGGGAAAAGCAAAGAAAAAGATGAAAGGTTCTCATTCCTCAGACAGGAGGCTAGACCTGAACCCTCAAGATTCGGGGGGGTTCTAGACGGGGAGGCGGGTCTGTCGCCCCTCAGGCAGTACTAGAACCGAGGTGCTCAGCCTGGAGAACACAACCCACAGCCACGTGCTCAGCAGGCAGCTCTCCTGGTCACAGTGAAAATCAACAAATACCTTTTCCTGACCTGGTCACTTGGGTGCGTGGGCCTGGGGGTCGGGGAGGCTCCTGATAACAGGATCACAAGGCTGACGGCTGAGTGGTCAGAGCATGGTCACCATCCCTGCCACCACCCCCTGCCCTGGGAGTTAGGGCACGAGAAAGCCAGCAACACTCCCTGAGATGTGGATGGCGAGACCTGACTCAGAGGGTACGTGGGGACTCTGCTCAGGTGGGAACAACAGCACCCAGCACAGACCTGGGAGCCTGGCTCAAAGACACACACGCAGGCTCTGCAGAGGAAGCTCAGCTCCCTTTTCCTCCTCAGTCCTCACAGTCCAGACACAGGGCGGTGCTGGGGGCACCTGCACACGCACCGTCTGATACGATGTCACACGTGCTCACTCTGGGCAGGGCAGGGAGTGCATTTATTTTCGCCTGTAGAGAAGCCCCCCATTTGTGGGTTAGTTATCCTTGGTCAACCACACCCAGAAACATTAAATGGAAAATTCCAGAGATAAACAATTCACAAGTTTCCAAGTGCACGCTGTTTTCAGCAGCGTGACGGAATCTTGAGCCGTCCCGCTCTGTCCTGCCTGGGATGTGAATCTGGGATGGGAATCATTCCTTTATCCAGCAGTTCACTGGTCGCTCAGCAGCCGCCTGTTATCAGAGGGAGAGGGACCACCTTGTCCTGACCTCTGTTACAGCATGTTGTTAATTATCTCATCGGTAGCCACTGAGGTTACTTTCTTACTGTGCCTAATTTATAAGGTATACCCGTCACAGGTGTGTGTCGGAGAAAACAGTACAGAACCCCCGCAGAGAGGGGACTGAAGAGTGACATTCTGGTTGTCCTTGACGAGCGCACACAGGGTCCCAGCACCTGAGCACCTGAACACGCTGGAGGGAGTTACTTCTTGCCGAGTATGGGAGGCTCTGCGGAGACGCAGGCTGGGGCTGGACCACTGTGCTCCCAGCTGGCAGGCAAGAGGGGGGACCAACACCAGGCCCGGGTGTCCAGGAGGGAGGACAGCCTGCAGGGACATCCCACATGGGCCTTAGCTCAGCCGCCCTCCTGAGTCACTCAGGGAGCCTGACCCCAGCTCACAGAGCCAGTAAACCTCCAACAAACTGCTCTCCACTCTTTCATGCTATGAAAGCAAATTAAAAGTCAACTGTGCTTAGCGCATTCTCCCAGCCATCAAGAGAAGGAAGGTCTGGGGGTGAGCAAACTCAGTGAAGCAGCTAAAACGTTTCAATTTTGGACTTTTAAGTTGGGTTTTTAAGTGTTTAACTCAAATTCACTGCCCAAGACAGCAACATGCAGACCCTGGCGCTTCCTCTCACTGATACAATGTTTCCAGTTCTGCTTTACCGGAGCCTCACTTTGAAGTCTCCATCACCCTCTCACTGTGAGCACGCAGACTGCGGCACTTACACAGAAACCACCCGGCGGCCTTTTAAACCTGGAATCTAATGCCAGCGTTGCACCTGAAAGAGGAGGAGCGCAGGAATTGAAGGGAACTTCCTCCAGGTCCCCAGACCCGTTAAGGACAGATTGGTTCGGCCAGAAGCCTGACAGTCTACACCAAGCCTGGGGGGCCACAGTGACCGACTGACCCCCTGCAATCGGTTTCCAGCTAGAAGGCAACAGGGTGAGGCACACAGGGGGCTCACTTTTGAGCTCCCAACCCTCCTCTGGGAGGTGGGTGGATGGACAGCCTGGCCCCTAGGACCTGCCCCAAACACATCCTGAGGAAAGGCGCCCATTCTTACCCATCAGCTGCACAATGAAAACACACCCCCACCTCAGGGAGAAGCTGTGTGGACACCAATTACATTTCAATTAGAACTACCAGCAAGCCCACCACCTCCACACTATGCTGCGTCCTGATGTCCCTCCTAGGAGCACCCAAGACAGGCCGCCGCCCAGCCAGTTAGGGACCCACCTCTCTACCTGACTTGGGCCGGGAGGGTTTCTGGGCCAGCATCTCCCAACCTTCTCAAGATTGGTCAGAAAAGGTCAAGGACTCCACAGGAAGAATTTACACGTTCCACCTGAAGAGTCTTCGTGGACTCTTGCCCTGCTCGCACAGTACACGGCTTGCTGTCCTCGCCTACCCCGTGCTTCTCCAATTGCAGACTGTGTTCTGGAACGTGTGGGTGTGCACGCTGCCCAAGCCTCAGTTTCCCCACAGAGAAGCAGCTCTGAGGAGGCATGGCAGCGAAGGGGACACCAGCAGCAACTGCTCAGCCTGGATCTACTCGTGAACCACATCCCTGCATGGAGCAACACTGCGTCCCTGCCACTCGGGCAAGCCAGGGCCTGACCCCGCCCTACGGGACCTGGGCCCCATTGCTAAGCTTCTGAATCCGTCTCCATCTCACCAGCAGCTCCTGCCTAGACTGTGCCAACTCCGGGCCTTGTGAGCTGAGGGCCCCAGGCTCCGTTCTGAGCTCAGTGAACTTTGAAACCTGATGGAGGAGACAGGTACTGGCAGAGCCAGGCCTGAGGTTCAGGTATCACAGGGCACAAAGCGCCTGAGGAGCTGTCTAGGCCACGGACGGAGTGGTCGTGCTCGACCACTGTTTTCTTGATCTGAACACATCAAGGGTGAGACAACTCAAGACTGATTTCCCTACAGACTCAAATAAATATGGGGTGCACACTATTTCCTACTTTTGTACCTAAAGAAAAAACTTATCACAACTTCTATGTCCAATTATTTCAAATTCTCAGGAGAAAAATACACTTTTCTTCTGCAAAGGGGGGGTGGCTCCCCAACTTAGTCCAAGTGGTTCTGGGGGCTCCTGGCATCTCTTCCTCCAATGGGCTAAGGACACTGAAGCCTGCGGTATCCTGGCTTATGACAGTCACCATGAGATACACCATCAGGGGCGCCATTCCAGGGTGGATGGAAGGCAAGGCCGCAGCCTCACAAGAGGAATGGCCCTGCCTTGGCCCCAACTCAGGTTGTGGGCAGAGGAGCAGGGCCCAAGGCCTGGCTCCTCACCTGTGCCAGCAACTGTGACTCTCTGTTATCTGCCCAGTGACAAGTGGGACAGAGAAGAGCCCAGGCCCCCAGGCAGTTCTAATGAGCTGAGAACCACTGAAAAAGGCCCATTTTGATGCCAAGAAACTGGCACCCAAGGAAGCCCGAGGAGAGGAGAGCCCACCTCCCACGTGCCCTTCCTGATCTGCTGGAGGCTCTGCCGCAGGACACTCAGGCCCTCTCCTGGGAAGACTCGCGGGGCGAGGAGGTGTGAGGTCTGGGTGCTGCAGGGCTACATGCTGAAGGGGAGGAGGGAGACTCTGTGCCCTGGGGACACCCAGAGAGAAGCTCACTTCTGGGAGCACAAGGTTGTCACCACCGAAAAAAGGAGCAGGCTCCACACGTGCTGTCTATGCCCTGAACTGACCCTGTCCCGTCACCTTCAGGAGGCTTCCCCCTCTTTCCGGAGCACAGGTACAGTACAGAGGGAACCCTGTTACCTGGACGGTTCTGAAATGAAGGCGCTGACACCAAGGCCAGAGCCCCCATGGTCTGCGTCCAGCCTTGCCTGACCAGTGCCTGACCTCCCAGGGAGCACTGGCCACCCTGCCTCAGAGGAGGCGTTAGTCCCCTCGTGGGAGCAGGTTAGGCAGAGAGGTAATCATCAGTCTCGTTAGCATGCACAGTGTTCCCAGGAGACCCGCCCGGGTCAGAATTAGTCTCGCCTTCATTTCTTTAGTGTGGTTAGCAGCTCGGTGCCTCAGAGCAGATTGATTAACTCAAGGAAGCGGCTGCAAGTGTGAGCCCAGCCACGCCCTGCACAGCAGTGAGGGTGAGGGGTGAGCCTCCCTGCACACCAGGCGCCTTCCCAAGTTTCCTCAGTGTGATCACTGGCAGGTGAGAATCGAGGCCCCTGGCTGCTCCCCCTGCTCTGGAACTCGCCCTGTCGGAGGTGGCCGTGCCGTGCTGAGGGCACCGCGTGGGGCAGTGCGATGCAGGGCTGAGGGGGCCTCACCCTCACGGGCCCCTGCACCAGGGTCTGGGCCCAAAGCCAGAGGACTGAGTCTCTGATCACCTGATCCACCTGCACCAATTTCACTTCCCAATTCGAGACTCAACAATTGAGCCATACAATCTGCCCGAGGAGCTGGGATAAAACACACTGAGGCTGCATGACTGACAAATTTCAAGTGATCAGAACGAAGGAAACTTAAGAGTCTCCCCTCCGTCAGGGGCGCCTGGCTGTCACAGGCTGGGACGCAGGAGCTAAGCAGCGCAGCGCTGGCCGCTCTCAGACCCTCACCAAGTTTGTCTGTGGATGAGATAATGTCAGCGGGCACGGAGGAGTCCAGATCGGCATCCAAAATTCCCAGGGGGTCCAGCTGTGCTACATGATGCCCTCGTATCTACGGAAGGGCCAGCGATGGGGAGGGCGGGACACACACAAAAGGACAGAAGAAAAAAAAGAGGGAAGGGGTAAAAAAAAGTAAAATTACATTAAAATTAGCATTTACAGATTAATCCTCACCCACGTTTGAAGAAACAGTTACTGGAGCATCATCAAAATTTACACAACTAATTCCGAGAGGATCAAGTTTTGCAATGTGGTGACCCCTGACCTGGAAGCAATAACACAAGCAGTGGTTAAGCAGGTCCCGGGCTGTGGGGTGAAAGTCACACGTGGTCACACCTTCCCCACGAGCCGTGAGCCCAGGGAGCGGGATTAACTTTAAGGCCTTAGGACGCTGGCTTTCCCGCTCTCCTGTGTACAACGCACCTTCACAGCAAGGTGAACTCCCAGGTTGCAAGGAATCCGGGGGCCTAAAGGGACCTACTTACTCCCTGGGACCCTTCCTTTCCCTGGATGAGTAGAAATGGGCTCTGTTGGGGCAGTTACCCCAGTGGACACTGACTGGGCTTAGAGCAGGAAAAGGTCCCACAGAAAGGAGGGAGGTCGGCGGTGGGCAGAGGCAGTGTGAGCTTGGCCCTGGGGTCCCACACGTCCCTGCTGGGGATCGGCAAGGGGTCAGACACAGGACGGCTATGACAGGGACTTCCGCCTCTGACCTGAACTGACTAAAACAGGAGAGAAAGAGAATGCCTCCAGTCCTGTTCCCTGAAGCATGGGGAATGTTCCCAGGCTCCTGGGCTGGCTCTGGCAGGACCGATGACATCCCCTGGGCAGCAGCAGTTGTTGGGGTTGAGTGCACGGCTGCCCTTCCACAGAAACGTCCACAGGGAGCAGACCTGTAGGGCACGGCCTGTGGCCCACAGGTCCCTGCTGCTTTCACTTCCTTGGGGAGAGAAAACCTACTCGCCACCTTCCCCTGTGCGCCTGTCCTGACACCTGAGTGAGGTGCCACAGGTGTCAGGACAGGTGCACAGGGGGAGAACCCCCAACGCCCCTGCTGCGTTGCAGTGACGAGAGAGGCAGCAGGGGAGCCTGGGTCCCTGGGGTTCCCCAAGATTTCTGCTCCCCAGGACTGCTCCCAGCCTGGTACCAGTTCTCCAGTGGGCTGACCAAGAACTGCAGTGCCCTCACCTGCCTGCCCCTGCTCCTGTGGGCGTGTTCTGTCCCCAACCCCTACAGGTTCATTTCCTCCTCTCCCACTTGGGTACTAGCAGCTGACACAGCTCAGTCCTCCTGGTCACTGGCACTTCCTGCTGCCTGATACTGTTTCCCTGCCCACAAATCTTTCTTGCCAACCTATGGAAACAAACAAGGAACTATTTCCAGGGCAGGTGCTAAAGGTGGTAGAGGATCTGCTCCAAGGGTGAGATGGTCCTGGCTCCTTTTCTCATCTTTTTCATTTTTTGCGTCCCTAGACCCCAGGGCAGGGAAACAGCGCCCAGTGTTTGCAGGAGTGGAGGGCAATGACACAGCCTCAGGAGGCCAGCTGGTGCCACCTTACCTGGTAGGCCCTGATGAGAGACTGCACCGCCAGGTGGTCCTCCACCAGCTTGTCCACGTTGGGCTGTGCAGCCACCAGGGGCTGTGCTCGGGCCACAGCTGACAGGGTACCCAGGCTCAGGGGGAGTGGACTCTGGTAGGCAGTGCCTGGGGGCGCCCCGGCATTGGTGTTGCGGAAAAAAATGTCCCATGACTAAAGAGAGAAGGAACACACGTGTCACTCGCTGGGGGCCTTGCCCTCATTTCCAGCCAAAAAAAGAACTGATCTTGGCAGGCGGGTCTTGTCCTGGGAGGGAGGAGTCCTCTTGCTCTGGTCAGCTGCTTCCACCCCCAGGGGCAGGTGTCGGAGGCTGGGCCAGCCCCCCTCAACCCTCAGGACACCCATTATCAATGATGCAGGTGCCTTCTGGCTGCCCTTCCATTGCCATCCCAAAGGCCAAGGCAGCCCAGAGGCAGGACAGACCCCTTCCTGCCTGTCTGTCCCCTGACCTCCTGCACCCTCATCACAGCCTCTGGGGCCCAGGCCTTGCTTGTGCCCTCACCCCCAAGACAAAGCGGGCCCTTGTGTGAGAGGCAGCCCAGGGCTGGGGAAGGCTGAGGGAATATGGTCAGAGCTGGGGCTGAGGGAACGTGGTCAGAGGGAGAACTCAACCTGAGCCCTGAAATCTTGAGGAGGCACCTAACATCTGGGCTGTTTTCTCAGCTGTAGGAGGAAGAGAAAAATCTGTGGTTGTCACAGGTCTGTGGTCAAGACCGAATCGTGTGGAACAGCAGTGAGCACAGTCCGTAGGCAGTAAGAGCCCAGCGTGTTCCTGTCAGTCTCAGTTTCCTTTGTGCTCAGAGAACTGGCTCGTTCCTTCTTCCCTGCTCTCGGCTATTTCAGTTGAATGATTGTCCTCCTAATCCACTTGGACACTATGAATTCTAAGTTTATTCACCTCATGCAAAGGTAGGAGTTTAAAAAAAATATTTCAGAGGTCAGAGAGATGAAGACTTAATAAACTTCCACTGCAAAAAAAAAAGCCCCAACTATTAAACACCGGAGAGGCTGGAAACATGAAAACACTGTCTTCCTTCTCGGCCATTCAAGCTCCAGTGTCGAAGGCTCTCCCGTCAATAAGCTATGGTCAGACTTCCTAAAGAACCTGCAGAATCGTCACTGGGTCTGTGTTCGCCTCCCTAGGGAGCGCCGCCAGGTGCCAGCCAGGTATGGAGTGGTCTCCTGTCTTTCACAGGCAGGCTTCCCCGTGCTGTCCAGGGCAGATAATAGCTGACCCCACGGTCCCCAACGACCACTGCCTGCTGCCACCAATCACAACCAGACAACCTGCTGGGGCAGGTGGAGGCCTGGGACATCCTCCTCGCACAGGACAGCCCACCGCCTGCCAAACTGTTTCCAGGGGAGCTTTGTAGAATGTCCAAATCTTCTGTAGTAAGAACATATCCCTCTTGTATTCAGAAGTTATTAAAAATCAAACTTCTGGGTGATGACCATACAACATGGTGAATATACTAAAAAACAGCTTTTATCTTCATAAAAACTGTAAGTAATACCTTCTTAAAATTAAAAAAATATATGTCTTTATTGATTTCAGAGAGAGGAAGGGAGAGGGGGAGAGAAACATCAATGATGAGTCACTGATCACCTGCCTCCTGCAGGTGCCCTACTGTGGATCGAGCCCACAACCCAGGCAAGTGCCCTGACCGGGAATCACCGAGATCTCCTGGGTCAGAGGTCGATGCTCAACCGCTGAGCCACGCCTGCTGGGCGTGAATTATATCTTAATGATAATTTTAAAGTGTTTTAACAAATCTCACTCTTCAAGGCCTTCCTGCTTTTCCTGTGCTGTCTGACTCTTTGCTGCTTGACGGGAACTGTTGGCTGACGGGTAGGACAGCTCTGAGGTTATCGTCCAGCATCAGTCACTAGGCACCTGCACCATGTACCTGACCCGGCCTCCCTCTGCCTCCTGGGTGGGACTCGGAACCCCAGGACATCCTTCCAACTTGCCCATCAGGCTACTCCCACCAACACTCACTGACCCTGCTCTACTGCGGTGAGAGGCCCTGTGTCCACCAGAGACAGAAACCCACTTACTTCTGGGAGAAAGGAGAGGCCACCTCCGTGTCCTCTCCCCAGTGCAAGGGAAAGCCCTGCTTGGCCCCTGCCTGGTTCGTTTCAGGGAAATACAAAGCTGACACACCAACACCCAAACATTTCCAACTTCCTGGAGCTTTGATGGCAGGCCCAAGCCAGCTCCTAGCATCCTGGGAGGGGCTCTGGCCCAGGGCTCCCCCTGGCCTCCATCCAAGCCTCCGTCACTGAGGGCCTGGCCTACAAAGAGCCCCTCCAACATGGAGATAATGGGGCAGGAGCTGCCCAGCCTCCCATGGCAAGAACCAATAGCAAGCTGCACCTGCTGCAGAAAAACCTAATCAACTATCTCCTTTACCCCAAACCTGCTCCCACGCTGGCATCCCCACTCCTCTGTGTCTACAAAAAGTCCTGCTCTGGCCCTGGCCAGTGTGGTCAGTGGATCAGTGCATCGTCCCGTGCACTGAAAGGTTGCGAGTTTGATTCATATCTAGGTTGCAGGTTCAATCCCCGGTGGGGGTGCGTATGAGAGCAACCCTGTGTTTCTCTCTTACATCAATGCTTCTTCCCTCTCCCTTTCTCTCTCAAATCAAGAAGACGTATCCTAGCTGAGGATAAAAGAAAGTCCTGCTCTGGACGCCCTGGGGGCTGCAAGAAAGCTGGGTGTGGTGTCAGCTGGATGAACCTGGACCGTACAGAGTCCAGAGGCTCCACCCCACCTCAGAGAGGTGCTGACCTCGGCAGGCAAGGGATTGCTACCAGGGAATGCAGGTGTGAGCGGCTCAGTGAGACAACGGACTTTGCCTCTTCACTGTCAGCAGATCGTAAGCATCTCAGCACCAAGCTCCCAGCAGTGAGTTCACACCAGAGACCATTCACAGAGGCTTCAGGGTTGGAGGGACAGCAAGCGCTCCCATGGTGTCCCTCACTGTCTCAAAGGCCCCACTGTGTGTTGAACACATCAGCTGGCAAAAGTGCACGACTTAACGGGGCCTGCGCATGAAGGAACCCACCATGATGGGCCTGCCTGCCACAGCTCTGGGTCTGGGAGTCCCTGTTCCCTCCCGCAGGCTGGGAGAAGCCGGGGAGGTCGCCTGGGCTCTGGGCCTGGTTCCTCACCTATGAAAGCAGGAGCCCAGGCTGCATAGGGGGACACCCCATGCCTGCACAGCTCCTTATACTTCAAATAGCACCTACAGGGACAAGAGGTTGATCAGAACTTAATCCTGGGTTACTAATGCTTATTCCAGCTGCCAAACTCTAGGACTCTGGGTTCTGGGCTGACTAAGCCACTTCCCCTTGTCCAACGCCACTTCTGTGTTAGTCCTGCTGTCTCTATCTTAGATGGGAGTCCACCCTACCCACCCGCAAACACTCCCCAATCACCTGATGGCCACCCCAGGATGGACCAAGCCCCAGGTTCAAAGGCCATATAGTGATAAATCAGGGACTGCCGATCCACCCCAGACGCCAGCACCATGCCAACCATGTTAAGTTCTGATGCTACCAAAACCTTTTAACTACAAACAGGAAACCAAGGGCCACAGTCACCAAGGAAAACAGATGCATGGCATCTTAAAACAAGGGTTTCGCTAGTTCAGTTGGACAAACGGACAGTGACTCCTCAAGCAAGGACGGTCACCAGTGACCTGCTGGCTACCAGGTGCCTGTCTTTCCACCACCTCTCACAGGGGCTCTTTCAGGTTAGAAAGTATGGCAAATTCTGCCCAATGTCCCAGCACCAGCTCCTGTGCACATGGTCACTCATGTCACTACTGCAGGAAAAGGCTGTGCTGGGCAGTCTCTACAACCTCCCAACATGCCTCTCCTCTCTAAGCCAACCCCAGGGCCCATGCCCTTGCTGAAAAGATGGTGTGTGACTGCCATCTGTCTGTACAGGACGCCCAGGTGCAGAGGCTGGTGGCAGACTGCCCACCCCACAGACCCTGCACAAAAGGTTCCTGCTTTGGGGCTCAGTGTCTTGAAGGACAGCACTGGCCTTCAGACCCCATCCACCGCAGGGCCTTGCTCAGACCATACCCAGCTGAGGACAGAAGCAGCTAAAATTGGGGGTTCTACTCGGGTATTTCTCAGTTACGGAAACCAAATGGATTTATGCTTGAGTAGAGCAATGCCGTTGCTTTTAAACCACAGGTAGCTCAGGGAGAGCATCTCCAAACTACTTCACTCTCTTCTCTTCATGGTGTGCAAGCAAAGCACCGCAAACTCCAAGGTCAGCAAAGGAAAAGCTGCCTCAGCTCTGCCCTATCGACCTGAGAGTGCACAACACACCCTGGTCTCTGCCCGAGACTAAAGGCAGGGCCCCATCAGGCTGTCAGAGAAAGGACTGGCAGGCTGTTCAGCAGCCAGGTGTCCCCTATGCCCCTCCAACACCCCTGGGTAACAGGTGAGCCTCATGCACATTCAGGTGCTATTCTCTAAATCCAACTATAATTTAAGAAGTCCTTGTAAGAGGTCATACTTGGGAAAAGGAGGGCAAGGGGCAGGCCTGAGCACGAGAGGACAGTCTGGTTACGTAACCCCTGGGCTAAGTTTACTCTAGAGATAAGTTTGCAGCAACTGTCCTCGGAGACCTCTGGCTCCCCACACCCCAGCAAGGTCATACTCACAGTACTTCCTTCCAGGTGCCCACTGTCTACAGCCTGGGGAAGGCTCTAGAGCACCTCAGGGGAAGCCAGGCCCCACCGGGCTCAGGCGGCCATGGAAACGGGAAGGACCCAGCTAATGCCATGAGGTTCAGATAGAAAGGTGGCATTTCTGGTGAGACAGAGCCGGTGGCTCCCATAGTCATACGAATGCACCCAATCTTAAATGTCACTAACATGGCCCTTGTTCTCAGGGCCAGTGGAAGCTGGCTGTCCTCCGATGATGAGACCCAGATTCACAAGGAAGGAGACAACCGAGTGATGACATCAGCCTGAGCAACTTGGGGCCCTGCCTCCAGCTCCCGCACTGAGCTACTGCCTGACTTGAAAACCAAGAAATGATCAGTGAAACCCACAAATTTCCACTGGTCAAATGCTGTTAAGAAATTCTGCCACTAGGTGTACCTTGTACCAAGCAAATCAAGAGGAGAGACGCTAAGAAGGACATGCCTTACAGGTGACTCAGAGGAATCAGAAGAAAGCCTTCACAGAATTTACTTCCAGATACTGGAGAAATCCATGAGCATGGTGATCTAAATGTGAAAGACAGCGACGTCACATGAGTTGGCTTTAAGGGTTCTCAAGACACTAGGACAAAGGAGAGTCCGCAGCTCGTCCAGCTGCCAGCTTCTTTTCTCTAGCAGCCTCGCCGGGAGCCTGGAGGTGGTCCACTTGTGTCTTCAGGTCCTTGCCGGTTGACCACTATCTGTTCCAGAGAGCGAGGCACGCAGGGAGTGGGGCACCTCTCCAGAGGAGGTGGTTCCTGTTGGGCCTGGGTGGCCGCAGAGCACCTGGGTCACCGGGGCTCCCAGCCTCGGCCTGCCTGCCTGCCTGCAGGCTCCTCAGGACACTTACCTGGATGTCTGGCCAAGGTCAGCCACTCCAAATACACAAGGACCCGCTCCTGCGAGCCTTACCTTGTGAACACTCTTGGGGTTCTCCAGCCAGGCATAGTACATCTCCTCCACATAGTTGGAGCTAGTCCCGCTCAGGAAGGGCTCCGCAGCCACGGGGGCAGTATAGCACCGGATCTGCCCAAACGTCCTGGCGGCTGCTGGTCTGTTTTGGGAAAATGTCTTAACAGTCTGTGAGGCCGTCAACGGCCTCAACTTAGTAGCACAAGTCCTTAAGTGAAACATCCTTGTCCTGTTTCTCACAGCCGCCTGCACGAAAAAAGAAAGAAATGTCAGAAAGAGCATCTCAGCAGATAAAGCTGTGGGGGCAATTCGCAGGCTCTGGCTGAGGACAATGTGTGGAAGTGCAGGCGGCAGGGCCTCTGCTCCAGTTCAGGGGGCACTTGGAGGAGCAGGAGAGTCAACCCACACCCTCCTGGCATCTCCAAGTGTCCCAGATTTACAGCCTAGAAAAGGCGTTGAGAACTGATGATTACAGGTTAGATCTGGATTAACTGCAGAATGAGAAAGATGTTTCCTTCCTATGGGGAAACTACGGAGCACCTGCTGGACTCACTATATTCTGTAGAACAGAGAGATCTCAGGAAAAATACTTCTCAGATAATTTATATTTGAGTAGAAGAAAAAAATATTTAAAAAACATCACTGAGAAAGCACTGAGTGCCTGAGAGGCACAGAAGATGCCACCTCCACGAAGGACGCCTCCGTCCAGACGGGACTGTGGTTTTCAGGCACCGGACATGGAAAAGTCAGGAGGAGGGAAGGCAGAGTGGGAAAGCTGAGGACACAGGGCGAGCAGGAGCCTCTGGTGCGGTGTGGGAACCAGGACCCAGAGGGTCAGAGGAAAGCGCTTATACAAAGGTCTATGCCCTGCACACCCTGGTCGGCAACCTGACATGTCAGGACTCCTCACAATCCCCACAAACTTCCCTTCCGTTTACAGATCAGCTTTCTGAGTTTCAGTTTCCCCAAGGTCACGGGGCCATTATAAGCAGAGCCAGGCTCCAAGCCCACTGCAAAGTCCCTGCTCTGCCTGACCCCTCCGTGATAATATGAACCTGGGCTTGAGGGAGGGAGATGGGATGGATATATTTATTTGCTTCTGACCCAAATGGACCTTGCACTTGATGGTCATACACCTACTAAATCTAGTTTATAACTCATCAAAAGTAGCCATTTTATAAAAGCTGATTGCCCACCAGACCCTGACAGTTTAGACTATTCCCAGAGGGCCTTGAACCACTTCCAAAAGCCCAGCATACCTCCAGGCGGGGACTGTCAGGAAGGCACAAGGATACTTCCAGGGAGCAGAAGGGGCCCTGGGAGGGGAGGGACACCTGGGGCAGGGCTGGGGCTCTTCAAAGCTCCTGCTTGGGATTAGTGCCCATGGCTTAGGCGAGGTGCTCAGGAATTTGCCTCAAAGCAAGCACCTGGCTGTGAAGGTGGAATCGTTCCACCTCCACACCTACCTGATCAGAATACAAGTAAGGGACACTGACAAGCGTCTTGCTGCTTAGAAAAGACCAGTCAGCAAAAGGGAAAGAGCACGATAGGTACTTTAAAAACAAACCAGCAACAAACAAAAACCTGCTCCTTAAACATTAAAGATGAGCAAGCAGCATGTTTTGAATACCGCTACAGAACGCAACCTTAAGTAACCCATGTTTGTTTTTTAAACTGAAAAGTTAGAAGTTTTAAGTCACTTCAGTAGTCCTCCCTATACCCCACTCGCTCCAATGTCTCCCACAAATAAGTTTAAGGCAGACAAAGGACCATTACAGACATCAAAGGCAACAATAAATACCACTACTGCTGCCATCAATGCTATTTTTTATTTTTATTACTTGGGTCCAGGGGAAGATATCAGTGTGCTCCCTCCAGTGTCCTTCCCATCTGGGCAACTTGAAGCACGGCTGAGTTTTCCTCTACAACACAGCAGCTCACCTCTGCGGTTACCCAGCTGCTGTGACGACCCCGTGAGCAGGTGCTACGCCAACCACCACCAACATGCTCTTTCCAGAGGGGTCCCTCCAGTGAGGCTGCAGGTTAATCATGTTTTCAGCTGTTCATAGCCTGAGTCTGACAAGCAGCTTGGTGCTGCCCAGCACAGCTACCAGAGAGCTGACAAGTTTCAAACTACCTTTAGGATGACTCCGTGGTCGGGAGCAGCTGCTCTCTGTCCAGACCTGAGGGACGACGGAGCAGACTCTAGGCTTACATTCTGGATTTCAGTTGATCAGATGCTGTCCTTCCAATCCCAGAGTCAGCGTCAGGAACAGCTAGCTCATCACTTGGTGGAGACACTCACTCGTTCAAACATGCTCATGAAACCTCTGGGTTGTCCAAAAAGTCTACGCATTCTGATCTGGTTTAAAGAAATACTCCTATTGGACAAGGGTGCCAAGAAGATTCCATGGGGGGAACATGGTCTTTTTAGCAGATGAAGCTGGGACCACTGAATATTCACCTGCAAAGGGTGAAGCTGGACAGCACCTACCAAGTTAACTAAAAATGGCTCTAAGACCCAAATGTCCAAGCTGAAACTGGGTGACTCTTAGAAGTCCCATATCTTCGAAGTTAAAATGCAGTAATTCTTGTGGCTTTCAATGGCATCTTAGGAAACCAAAATACAACGAAACAAAAAGATAAACTGGACTTCATCCAAATAAAAACTTCAGTGCCTCAAACGATACCACCAGGAAAGAGAAGACACAGAATAGGGGACAATACCTGCAAGTTATGTAACTGAGGAACTATTTACAGGACACATGAAGAACAAAGCCCGTAGCTCAACAGGAAGAAAAACACCCCAATTGAAAAACAGGCAAAGGAGCTAAACATTTTCCCCAAGAAAGATACACAAATGGCCAATGAGCACATTAACATAGTCCCAATGTCATTAGGAAAATGCTAATTGAAACAACATGATACCACTTCACACAGACTAGACCCAATCAGAAGCAAAATGCCAAGCGTGGGTGAGGACATGGACAAACCGGGAGCGCAGGCACTGCTGGTTGGAGTGCAAGCTAGTGTGGCCGCTGAGGAAAACAGCCTGGCAGTTACTCAAAAAGTTAAACATAGAGTTACCATAACACTCAGCAACTCTGCTCCCAGGAACATGACCAAGAGAAATGAAAACATACGTCCAATAGGAACTTGTACACAAATATTCACAGCAACATTATTCATACCGGCCAAAAACTGGAAAACCCCAAAAAATGTCCTTCAACTGAGGAATGGGTGTACAGAATGTGGGCCAGCCACACCATGGAATAGTACAGTGGGCAACACAGATGAACCCTGAAAATGCCACGTAAGGTAGAATAAGTCACACACAAAAAATGCATGATTTCATTTATAGGAAATGTTCAGGATACACAAATCTATACAAAGCCCACTGATGGCTGGTTGCCTAGGGCTGGGGACAGGAGTGGGAGGGGGATGAGATGTAATCACAAATGGGTAAGGGTTTTTTTTTAAGGGTCACAAAAATGCTCTAAAACTAGATCATGGTGATGGCTGCACAACCTTCTAATATACTGGAAAACAGTCAACTGCACCATTTAAATGGCTGAATCGTATGGCATGTAAATTATACCTCAATAAAGTTGTTTATGTTCAGGAAAAACGCAAGCGAACCTATCAGTGCCAATAAAGTACAAAAAAAAGACACTCTTTGTAACCCATTAGTCTTAAGATGCAAGTATAAGTCTATCCATTGGACAAAAATAAGGTTTAAAAAGTAAAAACCAAAGCAAAAATTTGTTTTTAACGGTTTGGAGCCCTGCCCATAGGAAACTACATGCTGAACTAAAGGAGAGCTTTACCTGTGCCTGTACCTCCCCCAGCCAGGCAGCACACACCCTGGTCACCTCCCCCCGCACAGAATGGGGACACACAGGGACTCCTGAAGCCTGTCGGCGTCACACTGCCCAGGCAGAGGGTGATTAAAGAGCCAACGTCAGCAGGAACAGCCTGTGTACAGCGTCTCAGGAAATGAATCTTGGAGGGGAAAGAGCACACACATCACTAGGTGACTGTTACTCGTGTGTTGCCTGACAACCATTTTAAAAGAACAGCTCATCTTGAAAATATTTTTTCTTTTTTTTTGGTTTTGGACTTATTAAGACAATGCTTGCTACATACCAACGGCTGTTACTCCATGCCCACAATTATTTTAGTTCTAGTGGAGATGCAAAAAACACATGCATGGAGAGAGCACAGTATCAACCCTCCTCTGAACTAAGAACCTCACATTCAGTGTCTTTCCCTTGTAGCTCCGTCAAACATGAACTAGAGACAAGGAGGTGGACGATCACTTTTTAAATGGTGGAGGCCCTTACTAGCGGGAAAGGATTGAGCCCCGGGGCAGGGGGGTAAGGGGGGACAAACAGGCAGTGACTCTAACTTGCTCCGGGTCCTTAATCGCCTCCTTCATCTGTGTTCAGTTTCCTTCGCTTTCCTGCCCCTCCATGTTTTCCTGTAATTATCATGTAAACATGACAGAACACTCTAAAAGTGTTTCTATGACTGGAGTTATAACTTACCAAGAAAAAAGACCAACCAAAGACACCTCTTAAAAGGCTGAAGTTCCCAAGATAAACCTAAATGCAAGTTAATCTGAGTGGGTAGCCGGTCAGATCTCTGGGAGGGATAACATGTCCACAGTCAGAATCCCAAACAAGCAAGCTTCAGACTGGGGGGCCTGCAGACTGACCTGTCCTCGCCCAGACTGTACCCTTGATGAGAGGTGTCCTGACTGCAGTGCTCCAGGGTGCAGGTAAACAGGCACTTTCAACGGTGTCATTTACTGTACAAATAATTAAATCTTTATGGAAAGCAAGGCCATTTATCCATATTTATTAAAACATTTAAAAACATAAACAGGACTTCCATTTCCCACTAAATGCAGCTAAAGACATGAAATATTACATTTAAAACAAAACAAGACTCTGAAAGGTGGACAGGAGATAGACTGGGAAGGGTCTTTGGGGTCCAAAGAAAGATGCAGCATTGAGTTCTTGGTTTTCTTTTTGCTTTATATATCCCAGATCAGATGCTGGAGAAGCTGGCAACTAATGAAGACAAAAAACCCACAACAAAAGCCAACTTCCACTGTCAGAAGACAAGAAATAGGACAGCTTAACAGGACATAACATTTTTAGACAATAACAGCCCTACTGTAGTCACGCCCACACAAAACACTGTAGCCCAGCCCCACCTTACCTGGTAATGTCAGAGGAGATTAGGGAAGTCCATCCCCATTAGGTGACAATGAGCCCCCATCAACTGTGTCAGTGGAGGCCAGGAAGGAAACCTGGATTCTACCCCCACCCAGCAGGAACAGGGCAGCACCCCTCCCTTCCCAGGCAGGGTGAAATCACAAAGGCCTAATAGGGAACTTACACCCACACAACAGATACCAAGGAAGCTGGGTGGGGAACCTGGGTTGCACCCCTGCCCAACACTGATGAGGCAGCACTGCCCCCTCTCCCCCCATGAGCGTCAGAGGAAGCTTGTTCTACTCAGAGATTTAAATAAGATCCTGTCTCATACCATAACACCCAAATGTCCAGGCTGCAATCAAAGATCACTTACCACATTGAAAACAAAGGCGATCTCAACTGAAAAAGAAAAAGACAACCTACAGAAACCAACACCAAGATGCCAAAGATGCCAGAATCTTCTGACAGATTTAAGGAGTAAGCATCAAAATGCCTCCATGAGCAACTACTAACATGCTTGAAACAAAAGAAAACTAAAAGAAACCACTCAATCTGAACAACAGAGCAAACAGACTGAAAAAATGAACAGGGCCTCAAGGACACGTGGGACTACAACATGAGACCTTGTGATGACATGAATGTGTCATCTGAATCCCAGGAGGTGCTGCAGAAGTATTAAGAGAAATAATGGCTGAAAACTTTCCAAATTGGGCAAAAGGCATAAACCTACAGATCTAAGAAGCTGAGTAAACCCCAAACAGAATAAACCCCAAGAAGGCCACTCCAAGACACAAGATAAACAAACTTCTGAAAACTATAGACCGACAACTTGAATAGCGTATTTATCAGAAACCATGGAGGCCAGGAGAAAGTGGCACTTTTCAAGTGCTGAAATAAAATAACTGTCAACTCAGAACCCTCTATCCAGCGAAAATAACCTTCAGAAGTGAAATAAGAAACATTCTCAGACCTACCCTCAATGTACGGCCAAAGAAATTTCTCTAAACAGAAAGGAAATGAAAAAGGAAGGAATCCTGCAACACCACGAAGAACAAATATTGAGTAAATATAATTTCCTTTTCCTCTTGAGTCTTCTAAACTATGTGTAATGTTAAAGCAAAAATTACATGTCTGATGTGGTTCTGAATGCAGAGAAAACAGTTAAGACAATTTTTAACGAGAAAGGTAAAGGGACATAAATGGAGGTTGGGTTTCTACACTTCACCCAAACTGATAAAATCTTGACAGGAGTGGACTATGATAAGTTGTGTACGTATAATCTAATACCCAGACAACCACTAAAAAGCTTTACCAAGAGATAATCTAAAAAAATATGTAGTGTTCAGAGAGAGGAAAGTTCAAATAACCTACAAGAAGTCGGGTAGAGAAGAAAGCAGGGAAACAGAAACTAGCCCTTGCGGAAGTGTCTCAGCTGCTGGAGCATCTTCCACACACCGAAAGGGCCCAGGTCCGGGTCAGGGCACATGCCCAGGTTCTGGGTTTGACCCTGATGGTGTGTGTGTGTGTGTGTGTGAGCACGTGGGTCAGGACACATGCCCAGGTTCCGGGTTTGACCCTGATGGTGGGTGTGTGTGCGCGCGGGTCAGGGCACATGAGTGTGGGCAGTGTCTCAAAAAGACAGTTGGCATACTCGAGATCTTTCCCCAGCCTCCCGAGTCAGTCCTCAGCTACTCTGCGAGCACGGGTCCTACTGCAGTTTTCGCCCTGGGGGGGGGGGTTCTGCACGAGAATCCTCGCGTGTCTGCTGCAAACCCCTTCGCCTGGGGCACGTCCTCAGGCTGCAGGGCGCGAGGTGCTCGCAGCGGTGGCGTCCGGTCCCGCGGCAAAGTGCGGGGCCGCCAAAAGGGCACCTCGGCCCCGGGGACATGGCTCCTCTGTTCCGGGCGAAGGCGGACGGCGGGTGCCCGTCCGCTCAGCCGCCAGTTTCACGCCGTCAGTCCCGACGTACACAAGCCCGGGGGCTCCGGAGAGGGCCGGCCCGCGACAGGCTCTTCCTCCGGTCGGCCGTCGGACCTCGCGGAGGGCGAGGACGTGGGGGCTGCGGGGTGACCGCTCGGCAAGGGCGTCGCCCCGAGGAGCTCAGAGGAGGGACGGGTGCCGTGGGGTACCGAGCACGGGGCGGTGAGCGCGGAGGGGCTCCGCGCACGTGGGGCGCTGCAGAGTGAGGAGCGCAGGGGCGACCCGGGCGGGAACCGACCCCGCACCGCGCCCGGGGAGGCG